TCAGATTTTTTTTTTGTAATTTGTATGACCATTCATGTCGGTTTGTCGGTGCTAATAGTACACTCTTCCCCCGAAGAGCGCGAGTAATAAGTACCGCGTAAATCGAATTCGCGTAAATGGAGTACACGTAGCATATGGGATTTGACCTAATAGGGACCAACATGGAAAATCTCGTGATTCTGGACATATAGAAGGTTATTGCCTTCAGCAAAGTTGTTCAGTGGATCAAAACCTAAAGGTTGGTGGACATAAGTTCGCAATTTTCTCACTACGTGGCGCTGGTTTGCATGAATTAATGATCCCCTTGTTTTTGTGATATCTTGAAATTCTTATCATCTAGGAAGTTGCTTTCTTCGGAGAAGTTGTTCAGTAACTCAAGACCTTATTGTTGGTGGACAGAAGTTCAGAATTTTCTCACTACGCGGCGCTAGTTTGCATGAATTAATGATTTCCTTGTTCATGTGATTTCTGGAAATCCTTGCCATCTAGGAAGTTTCTTTCTTCGGTGAAGTTGTTCAGTGGATCAAAACCTTATTGTTGGTGGACAGAAGTTCGAAATTTTCTCACTACCTCCCTCCAAATACGACTTCCATACTACAGCCGTAGGATCAAGGGATAATCGCAAACTTTAATTTGCGTTACATCCATTATAGCTACCGCACGATTGTGGACCGAATGGATGAAACAGTGGACGATTTGATTAAATCGTGGAAGAAGTTCACTATCAAAGATAGCTTTGACAACTTGGAAAAAGCCGTTCGTGATAGAAAACCTTCTAGACTCAAGAACTGCTGGAATGCTCTTTTGCCACCTGAAATCAGCGGAAATGTCAATGAAACCAGCAACGACAAGGCAGACGTCGCCCAAGACATTCGAGCTCTGGGACCGGCGCTGGGAGTTGTTGATATGACGCATGCTGAGATTAATGAACTGATTTCAGAAAAGGAAGCACCGGTTGAAGAAGTACTTGGAGATCTTGAAACTTCTGACGATTTGGATGATATCCTTGAGATTACAGCACCAAACGCTCAAGAACGTAAGGAACAACACCAAAAACTAACCGAGCTGCAGCGCTTTGTCAGTCTCGACACGAACGAGGAGCGCCGTACCAACCGGTGAACACTCGTGTTTATTTCAGTTACCGTGGGGACGTAATTTGTGATTAGCCCCGGTCCCTTTCAAATTGTATCATTATTCATGTACGGTCCATAGAGTTGATGCATATATTATGTCACGCTCTAAGGGAGGAGAGGGGGTCTAAGATTTTATGACCAGCAATGCATTAGGTATAGGAAAAACGTCACGATAGGAAGGAGGGGGTAATTTTTTGCTCGATTTAGCGTGACATAATCAATGCATGGGCCCTTATATTTGAAATGACGTTTCACATTCATCTAGTGATGACCGATTTTCATGCGAATAATCGATTAATCGATTAACGAACCGAAAAGTTTAATATTTGTAATCGGTTATATCATGCTGATATAAGCATTAACATCTCCAGAGGATCATCACCGATCGTTTCAAACATGTGCTGTACTCTCATTGGTGTAAAAATGGCAGCACAGTGAACAAAAAAATAATCGACTAATTAAAAAATGGGACATCTCTGATTTTGTTGTGATTCTTTTGATAAAAATGAACGCAAAATTTCATGTCTGCTGAGGGGGCAGCAAAACCACAAAATTACCTTGAATACGGGGGGTATTCATTGGATGAAAGGGACCGTGAAAGAGGACACTAAAATAAAGTTTTTCTTCCGACAGTTTCATCTTAGTATTCATCTTTGGCCGTACTAAGGCTTTCGAATTACTGACAGAATGTAAAAGCACAAACGAAGGGACAGACGGAGCGGCTCGAAAAGTTTGGTGACTAACCTGCTATTTCAATTTTTCAGTGTACCACATGGCAACACCACTACTACTGGATTGTACCACATGGCAACACTACTACCAACAATCAATACGAAACTAACGATTTTAAATTGGCTCACCACTTTAGTAGCCTATTGGTCCCAAGCAAACGATTAACGTACCCTATTCTAGTTGAAATTCTATTACTACACTATGTTTGTTTTGATTCGCTATGAAAGTTTGACAGATAACATCAGGGGTGTTTGGATTCATGCAGAACATGCAGGGGTGAGTGAAATAGCTTGGGACTGCTTGGGACCGTTGTTCTGGTACTGAGTGAGCCAAAAATAATAATGATTTTCTTCGGGACCCAGTGGTCTTAGAGTTACCTCTATGGTAGAACATTAACTACTTTTTAACTCCATTAATTACAGTCGAAATTTCGTAATTGAAGAACATTAATTACTTTTTCAATACTTTTAATCACAAACGAAGTGACAGACGGAGCGGCTCGAAAACTTTGGTGACTAACCTTCTATTGCAATTTTTCAGTGTACCACATGGCAACACCACTACTACTGGATTGTACCACATGGCAACACTACTATTGGATTGCACTAGCATTTTCACCAAATGTACTAGAATGTTTTGGTTCTATCTCTTTCACTCTACTCAAAACTGAAATGCATAAAAAAATTACAAAATGATACGCACTCTTTGCACACTGTCAAAGAATCATTGTACACAAAATCAACTTTGTTCATATCAAAACAAAAAAACTAACCCATCTGGTGGATGATGGCACAAGCTTCCAAGAAAATTCTATTACAGTGAACCACATTATTTAAATGGATTTCTTCGCCAGTAAGTCGTCTGTCACTTCGTTTGTGCTTTTAATTACATTAATTACGGGTAGATAATTTTAATAACCGTCATTAGGTCTTGATCCAATGAACAACTTCGCCCAAGACAGCAACTTTTCTAGATGGCAAGGATTTCAAGTTATAACAAACTAGGGAATCACAAATGCAAGCACACTAGCGCCGCGTAGTGAGCAAATTCAAAGCTTCTGTTCACCAATCATTAGGTTTTGATACACTGAACAACTTCGCCAAAGACAGAATTTTTCTAGATGGCAAGGATTTCAAGATATCACATAAACAAGGAAATCACAAATTCAAGCACACTAACTGCGCGTAGTGAGAAAATTACGAACTTCTGCATACCAATCATTAGGTATGGACACAGAGAACAGACGTCCAAGTTCGGTCAGAAACTTGTGTAAAGTTAAGTGGAAACGTCGCCGTTACGTAGCGCTAGCATCTCCCGATTTCCTCTATAAATGTATCACTTTCGACCAATTTGGCACTAGCATCGATAAATTATCTGCTGAAAATTGCCACATGGCGCTACCAGCACTTAGTGTCTAGTGTAAGTTTTGCAATGCTAGCGCCATCATGTTGTCAAAGAGGGTTTATAAGTGGGGAAGTCACCGTTAGTGGCGCTTAAGTCGAATATGAATCGTTAACTTGTGTAAGAAATTTTGTTCAAGCCTCAACGTCTGTTCTCTGTGGTATGGATCCACTGAACAACTTCCCACAAAATAGCAACTTTATAGGTGGCAAGGATTTCAAAATATAACACAAACAAGGAAATCATAATTTCAAGAACACTAGCGCTGCGTAGTGTGACAATTCCGATCTTCTGTCCACCAATTATTAGGTCTTATCTACTGAAATCTTTGCCCAAGACAGTAACCAGGATCGCGAGATATTCAATGTTGGTGCCTATTAGGTCAAATCCCATATGCTACGTGTACTCCATTTACGCGATTCATTCGCGTAAACGGAATCATTCGAGACCAACGTAAAGGGAATTCGTGTAGACCGAGTTTGCGTTTGGGGGGGGAGTGAACTAGGAACTTAAACATTAATTATAAAAATTTCAGATTAACTAAAGACGTAAAGACACGTCTGTGTCACTTAGGAATTCAAATCTGAAGAAAGCAGCATCAACTCCAATCGACTAGTCCGCATCGTGTTCTCTTGCTGAAGGAAGTGTTACTGCTACCTAACGCAACAACAAACTTAAACCTGTAATATTTCTACCTTTTTTACTCTTATTCCTCTTCGATCCTTGTTTGGATCCTACCCGTGTTCCTCGCTATTTTCATCCGGCTTGGATGTCGATTTGGAAAATTCCTCTTCGATCCTTCGGATTCTTATAGTTATCTGCTTCGATTTGGAGAAACTTGGTTCTGCCTCCATGGCGCCTAAGCGCAAAAGAAAAGGGCAATCGCGTGATCGCGTGAAACGAAGTGACAGACGGAGTGGCTCGAAAACTTTAGTGACTAACCTTCTATTGCAATTTTTCAGTGTACCACATGGCAACACCACTACTACTGGATTGTACCACATGGCAACACTACTATTGGATTGAACTAGCATTTTCACCAAATGTACTAGAATGTTTTGGTTCTATCTCTTTCACTCTACTCAAAACTGAAATGCATAAAAGAATGACAAAATGATACGCACTCTTTGCACACTGTCAAAGAATCATTGTACACAAAATCAACTTTGTTCAAATCAAAACAAAAAAACTAACCCATCTGGTGGATGATATCACAAGCTTCCAAGAAAATTCTATTACAGTGAACCACATTATTTAAATGGATTTCTTCACCAGTTAGTCGTCTGTCACTTCGTTTGTGGTAGTAGTGTTGCAAATTGCAATAACAGGTTCGTCACCAAAGTTTTTGAGCCGCTCCGTATGCACTTCGTTTGTGCTTGAAATAACTAATAAATTTAGCGGCTGAGTTATGGGGGGGGGGGTAGTCACCAACCCTCTGCCCACTACCTCCCTTCATTTAGCTACGCCTAAGCATCTGAGTAGAAGTGAGTGAGATTGAACGGCCGTGAATGCCCAGGATAATGCTGTAAAAATCGTTACTTTTCCCACAGTGTATATCGTTTCTGCTAGTGAAGATCAGATGGCGATACCAAAGAAACATTTCGTTAATCGTTAAATGCCCTGCGATCGCTAGTGAAGTATTTCGTTGAAATAGTTCAACCCGTAACATTTCCCATTCTGTCAACGTCAGCTTGCGTAAACAAAATTTAATTCTGATGACCGAAGAATAAACACTCTTCCACTTGTGATACTTTTTTGTTTGCATTTTTTAATGATGTCGAAGCAATTTGTTGGTTTTTCTGACGATGACATCTACAAAATTACTCGTCAAACAAATGGCAAGGATACTGGTAAGATGGAAGTATTATAAATTGTAAGTATTTGGTTTATACCACTTGTCTATCTGCTTCCAGCCAAGAACCTTTCGCGACCCCATCAGAAGCCAGTGCGGCTTGGCGAGACAAAACCTCCCGCCCCGAAATCTGTTCCCCCTAAGGAGCATGTGCAAACAAATGTCGCCGACAGCAGCACAGCCACCAGTTGCGTTGATTCTAGCATCTACCCAAACCACCCAATTCAACAGGCTGTTGCATTCAAACCACTTCCCACCATGATGAACGCACCGGAGGATGAATCCATTCTGATACTGCCGAAGAAACCATCGACCGGTTCATCCGAAGGCGCCAACGTATTTTTGGTATCCAATATTTCCATACTGGAAGGTATGTCTGCTTCCACACCGATGGCGAAAGCGATGCCGGACTCAACCAACACTCCCTTCAGAGGTATGTCACTGAAAGACTTCGAACAACAGCGGAAGCTTATGCAGGAACAAAATCGGCAGAAGCGTGATATGCTTCAAAAAGTGATTGAACAACAGTGAGTACATTCCGTTGATTTAATGAAATACTGAATTGATAGGAATTTTTATTTGTAGTACACAAAAGACGGCGGCAGAAGCGAATAAATTACAGGAAATCAAATCTGAACTAGGTAAACTGGAATCGGAGCTTGCCACTGATGTAGCCATCCTCAGAAAGCAGATTGATGCTGCCAGCTTGCATTTCTCCAACGTTGAGTAAGGCCAGCGCTGATCAATAAAGTTGCGTTCAATAGTTTGAATTATTTTCTATTGCAGGAAGAACTACCTTAACATAGAGAATCTATTCCTCAAGGCAAAAGTTGAACTTCACCAGGCTCTCGAACGGAAAGAGTTGTTAACGGAACACTTGTGTACCATTATTTCGCACAATGAAGAACGCAAGGCAAAGCGGCTTTCCGAACTGATGGACAAGGTTGGCCTATCCTTGAATGGAGACTATGACGATAGCAGTATTAACAGCGATGAGTCTTCATCCAAAGTATCATCCGCTGGGGAAACATCGCAAAAGTAATTCGGATATCAAAAATACCTTAACGTGACGTACTAACTAGATACCGATATGCAACAATTAACCAAAAAATACGCAAGCAATATGTGAGTGAGAATTAAGCCTTTAAACTGTTAGAAAAGGTTCTACTACTGCTGTCATGTGTCTGTTTTTATCCTAACTAGTAGATCCAGTACAACTATTCCGAATCTTTTGACAAGTATTGCTATTATATATTGCTCACCTAAAGTTTATCTACTGCGAATATTTTTATTTTCGTTTTAAACATCTGTTTAAATATTATTAATAACCAGTAATGCCACATTAACAATGAACACAAAAAAAGCAAATACAAATACAAATTATTGATAGATCGTGAACATCCTTATCTAGGTGCTGAATGATATTTTATTTTTTACATAAGTATAATAATGACAATAATAGCGATAGCAGGAGCTTAGCACTACGTTACATTTTTACAATTTGTATGCGTATAACATTTACATCTTTGATAAACGACAATATATATTTGGATTAAAAAATACCCTTTTGTTACTATAAATTTTGTATCCGTAAAACTCATCGCTTTTTTCTACGATTCTTAATCCTATTGCTGCATCACGAGTTAATATGACCCCAGGCATTTTTTGCATCCTTATTGACTATTCAACAAAACGATTATTTCTTTGACATTTGTCCATACTATACAGTCTTCTTGATGTGCCTGCCTCTTAGTTGATAGTAGACCTGAGGGCCGACGTATGTTTTGTCGGCGATGACGTAAAGGCAATTTTTACAAGACAATTTCAGCGTCACGCTGAACGTTGCTGTCATCGACGGCGAAGAAGTCTATTTAACTAAAAGGTGGAACGGTCAAAAATTGGTCAGTCATGATTAAGAGCACACTGATTATGTTATTGTATAAATGATCAATTATTATTTCTTTTTGAAGTTCAATTACTACACAGCAAAAAAAGTTGTTGAATATTACATCGAAACTGCTGCAACCAGGTCAATCCCTCGGTTGTGTAATATCACATTGTACGATGTACATCGATTTTGCGAACAAAATTACATCCATTGATGTAATATTGTATCTGCTTTTTGCTATTACATCATTACATCAGCTTGAATTACGTTGATCGATATTACATTTTTTTTGCTGTGTACATTACAGGAAAATTATTTTATTAGGCTTCCGATTTTCCAAATGTGAACTGAGGTATTTTTCGTTTCACACCTTGCATTGGATTTTGTACAGCTGTTGTACCAACCTTATTTGTACTGAACATAAATTTGCTTTGAACTGTTTCTCATTTCCATCTGTTATCTAAGTTTCTTGAGGTTCCACTTAACGATTGCCCAATATTTTTCAATTGGTTGCATATCCGGCAAGTTTGGAGGGTTTTTGTCCTTGGGTACGACTTGCACGTTGTTGGCGGTTGAAACTCTTCGCTGTTGCACCCCGAAAGATTCTGCGCCGTCCCAGAAGGGGATGTGTCTAGACCCCTAGCTGCTGGTCTAAGCCTGTCGGCAGCCACTGAGGTTGGTATTAAATTACTATTTTGTTCCCGGGTCTCAGGATTTGTCGGCGAGGGGGAATTTTCGGTGTAAGCTGTCCTAATTAACGCAATGGATTGATTTACCTTGACAATGTTTATTGGGCGGATCGATCTGGTCTGGTGTGTGAAGCGACGTTGGCTGTCACGACGGTGGAATGGAACAGCTGGATGGCAGTGGCTGGATGAGGGCGGCCAGATGGCGTTGGCCAGATAAAGGTGGCCAGATGAAGATGGCCAGATGAAGGTGGCCGGATGGCGGTGGCCAGATGGCGGTGGCCAGATAGCGGGGGCCCGATGGTGAGTGCCGGAGGGCGATGGCCAGATAGTGTTAATGCTCAGTTCGTGACGATGGCGCACAGTGTCCGACTGTTCTCTGCTGATCGTCAAGGGCGGTCCGGACGATGCAGGGGATTAGCAATCGGCCGGTTGACGAGCGGTCAATTTGTAGATCCCAATACACGTGGCCAACGCTGGAGCACCGTGATCGACGAGCAATGTCTCTTTTCTCGATCTCTGGGATCTTGACAGGTACCACAAACTCCTCGGGCACAAAAATACGACTTCTATCACGCACCACAGTCTACCATACACCTCTCGGCCGAACGATCTCTCACCTCATCATAGACTCTCAGCTTCCCCGTAGCTAGTTTCCGTCTCCCACAACTCTATGACAATTCCTCGGTAGAGGCAACAGTCCGTACTCACAGACCTACAAAATGACTCGCAAAATGAGGGGTGTTCAAATTTTTTAAATGTACGGTTAAAAAAATCTCCAAATTTGAGTCGAACAATTTTTTACCGTTCCACCCTTTATTCCAACCTAAGTGGTGCGGAGACGATTACATTCAATTTTCATGTTTTTTTTTCCTTGATTTGTTTTCCGTCGATCTTGTTTTCCGTGCTGAGCACCAATGCTACCGACGCCAGGGAGGCAGTTCCCATTACACCACCGGCGCCGCTGATTTTCATGTTACACTGGAGTCGCTTTTAACGCGGGGGATGCGTGCCGCGTAAAAAAAAACCGCGTGAAAAAAACTACCGAGATTTTGATTTTACAAATGCTTAAATATTTTGTTATAAATCAGATTTTGATGCCATTCGTTATTATAGCATGCTATGGTCCATATAGACATATTTAAAAATTTCTGTATTTACACCAAAAATTGTGATTTTTTTTAAAAAGTTTGCCATTCGATTACCTATAGTTTGAAACGGATAATGTGATTGGAATCAAGTCGATAGGTCGTATCGTTGTCAAGAAATCGTTAAAAACGTACCGCGTAAATTGCGACTCAGTGGCACTAACCGCGTAAAAAAAACCGTTTTTAAAAAACCGCGTAAAAAAAAAACGCGTAAAAAGCGACTCCAGTGTATTTTGCTTGATTTTTTTTCCCTTTACACCGCTCACAAATTGGTGCCTTTTTTTCAGAACAGAAAGGAGAACTCGTTCGTGACTTTCTCATTATTTGATGACTATTGCTTGAATGAGCCAATATTTTGTAAAGTTCGAAATAAGCTTTAAAATTGTTATCAAGTAAAAAACTAATCAATATCAAATCAAACGATCGAATATGCTTTTGCTGCTTTCCCTCAGACCCGTTTATTTTGATGTTTAAGTTTTCTCTGTTGAAGATGTTTACAATTATCAGTAATTATTGCAATGAATTAATCGTTCTTTTTCACTGTAATGAATAAATTTGGACAGCCTTTAAAAAACACTTGTTGTATTACTTTTCAATTTAATTTAAGGATAATATATATTTTGAGTGTTGATTTTAATACTTTATCTTTCGAACGAATCTGTTTGAGGGACGCAAGCCGTGGTGTTGGTCCTGAACGTTGGATTTTTTTTTTAGACACACATTTCGAGTGACTCCGCAGCACGTACACTGAAACAAATCGACATGTACCGTTTATTGGATCCATCTGATAACATAGCAATGTCAGCAGATTTATTCATTCTATGTGATGATTGATAGATTCCATTGGATTATCACTTAAAAACTATGACTGCGATATGGAATGATTTCTATCATAATTTCACATACTTAGTACTTGATAATACTTTGCTTCGAACGTGGTTAGCGATAGGTAAAAAGTATATGAATATTGTCTGATATATTTTATGGTGAAAAACTGTTGATATCCCGCATAGAAAAATACCATTTCTAGAACAGTTCAAACTTCACTGACACCTTACTAGCTATGTTAACTTTTCACAAAATAGTTTTGTTATGGTTTATGGAATGTAATAAACATTAAAGAAACACTACTTTCAACTGTTACAGTTTCTGGTATGTTTCAGCTAAATTTTGTTACGGTTGATCAACTATACTGAACTGTTACAAAACATTACGAATAAAAGTTGTAAACAACTTGTACAACGCTTACGTGTTTCGATTATGGTTGCTTTATGTTTTTACAATTTCTACAAACAGAAGAAAACGCTTTTGATTGAAACGGTGCTCGTGAGTTCATTGTGTTGTTTTGTTCGTTATTTTATTTTTAAAACCCTTGGTAATATTAGCTTAAAGCATAAAATATTTCATAAAAGCGCATGCATTTTCTACACAAATATTCAGGGCTAACAGCGGTTTACATGTGAAGGAGATTTCGATGTTGGTGGCTCACATCATCCAAAAAGGAAATCGAAGCAGGTACGTTATGCCGGGGCCTTTTTATCTTCCAGAAATGGAATGGAGTTTGTTTTGCAGGGCAAATTCATTTATCTATTCATTTTATATTAGATCAATAAACATGTTACCAAGAGCAAGGGAGGTGTCCACAAAAAGAAATCTTGTAAATCACATTAAAATTAAAGAACAACCCATGATGGCTGTATTCCGGATAAGCTACGACAGTATTTTTTATAACGTCAATAAGTATAGTAATTTATACCATTTCATAGTATATCATGAAGTTAACAACAATGGTTGGTTCTAAACCGTACTACCTTATTCGAAAGTTAATGGAAATAGTTTCACATATCCAACTAGAACCTTTTCTGATGTGGTAAGGCTATAGTTGTTTTGCTAAAAATGTATGAGAAAAAGCGAGATTTCGTATGGTGAACGTTCTTAACCACCCATTGTTCATATGGTTGGGTCTTCGAAAACCTTAATCAATATGGTCAAAACTTTATCTAGGTATGGTTTGATTAAAGTTGACTGAACCTTTCTCATTATGGTTTTCAGAGGAAGATAAACCATTTTTAATGTGGTAATCGTATGGTTGTGATTTATGCGGGATGTCATGGGTGGGAACAGATATCTAGAAACTAATGGAAAATCATATAAATTTGCACTATGAGAAAACTCAGTAAAATATACCTGTTTTCATGAAGAATATTGCTCACTAAAAGATATATCTTATAAGATAGGGATGTATATTTTATTGGAGTTGCTTTTAACAATTTTTGACGTTTGTTGATATGTCGCGTGTAAACAGACATGTAGAAACTATTGGATTGTCATTTAACTTTGCAGTACAGGAAAACATATATATCTCATTGGAATAGCTTCCTTTGATTTTTGAGGTATAAAGATTGTAAACAGATCTATCCCAATCATTAGATAGTCATATAGATTTGCCTTTTAATAAATCCAACAGCAAACATTTGTTTTGGCATGATTTTCTGGGATGAATATCGCTCCCATTAAAATACATCTTACATGATTGTTCTTTATAAATTATTGAAAGAATTTTCAACGATGTTATCGTACACTCATTAAAATGATTAGTTGAACTAAATATTACTAACAACAATGAGACTGTATTGAATAATCTTTGTTTGTTATTGTTTCATAAGATAAGGGGTTCCGGAAAAGAATGTATTGAGATTGAAAAAAAAAATGATTCTTCTGCAATATTTAATTAGCTAAGATTCTAATTGTAAATCTTCACACTCGAGTGTCATGAACGAGTTCCATGAACTCATATAATG